TTAGGGTCGCTGTTAGGAAAGTCGGGTTAGTACAGGACCATATTTCTATATTTACAAATATGTCCCTCACGAATTTCCCCCACAGGCAGGTCTCTTGGTTAGCCCTCAGCCAAACAAAATTACGAATCTACCCCTACCTAGAGTACAGCCTCGTCAGAGTGAGGCTACAGGCAGGATGGAAACAGCAAGTCATTGCAATAGGCTCCATGCATTTTGCTGCCAGCGGGTGCAGTTAGGGGCTGTTGTCGGTAGCTGGTCTTCTTCTGGGTTTGAACCACATGATGTATTTGATTAGAGGATGATCGTAAATTGGTTGGCGGCGATCCCTTGGCCATAATGGACGGAAGCATCTGTGTTTTTCAGAGAGTTCTGAACAGACACTGGGCCCGGTTTCCAGCTTTCGCTTTGGGGATTGTTTCGTCTTGTGCATGGCACCCTGCACCTGCTTTCCCCCACGTGTTTTTGAAAAACCAAAAGCAAAAAGAAAAGGAGGACAAAGGGGCCAGGGAGGAGGAGTTCGGTCCCATCAAATGCAAAATTCGAAGCTTTCTTTTCTGCAGCTCTGCAATTGCTCTTTGAGTTCTATTTTTGGCATTATGTTGTGATTTTACATGTCCTTGCATGCGAACGAGTTGCACGGAGTCTTACAAGGTATGTGTACCACACAGATGATAACAACCTTCTGTTACTTTGAACCCAAAGGTCCTATTCAAGGGTCCATTATCGCCTTTGCCACACGTGGGGGATTGTGTTCTGCCATGGGCCCCACAATAGAGCAAGCTTTGAAAAGTTTTTTTGCCGTGGCAGGCTTTTGGACTTGGATTGGAGGTGTGTGGAGAAATGGAGGGTCAGCTTTCCAAAACGATGGGCGGGCTCCGGTCTGACATTGTCAGACAGTTTGTCTGATCCAGGCTGCAAATAACAGTGTCAGGAACCGTAAATCTGACATGTTTTGTCTGATTTCAACCTGACTGTTGCTTTCTGAGTGCCTCCTTTTCCACTCACAGATTTTTCCCAATCTTCTATGGTTTGGTCAGTGATTCCAACCCTGACGGAATTTGCTCTGGTTTTGCACTTCAATGTTTTTCCAGATCCCTTTCTGTCTGTCAGATCAGCCACGTGGCAGATCCATGTGCCTTCCTGCTTGCTTGCTTAGTTAATTTTGTGCTTTTTCGCAATGATTTAGGAGGGGATAATCTTACAGGGACGTTATGGAATTTTCAGTGGCTCGGGTCACAATCACGGTCAAGTACATGCAGTGAAATCCAGTGAATATATGAATGTGCCCTAAATCCGTTTGCAATTCTATCCGAGTTGGCATTTGGGCTGGCTGATTTAGCGTTCCTGCAGGCTGTGTATGTTGTGTTTCACAGTGATAGAGGAGGGCATAGTAATCACACTAGACCTTTTTCTGGTGGACGTATCTGATCACAGTGAGGGTGGACATTTGTAGCTGCACTTGGTGAGATGCATCCAGGAGATACATATGGGTAGTCTGAGTATTATTTTGCCCTGATCAAATCGCTGTGATTACCATCCATAACAATCACGGGTGTTTGCTGTTGCAGCTGTGGGTTGATGCTAACTGCTATCTCTTTGTCTCCCACTTCTCCCCGCCCAAAGATTTGTGGTGTGGGTGATCACTGGCAGCTTGATTTTTTTTTGTGGGGGGGGAAGGTCGATTGGGTGGCTCCAGGACTCCGTGGCACCCAGGAGGGGCTGCCTGTGAAATGCCGCCAGGCCTCTGGGGAGGCTAGCGTGAGGCAGTTGCAAGGAAGGCTGGGCACAGCCTCTCCAACTTACTGGTAGGTCCAGCCTCCCAGTTAGTGGCAGAGACTGAGGACCGGGTACCCAGTCCGGAAGGTTCTCAGACTGGGAAGAGCCAGTCCCTGCCAGGCAGCCGTGGCCTCCTGGAAGTAGCAAAAGGAGAGAATGATGCAGCATTTGATACGTTCATTATCAAGACAGTTAGGCGTCAGTGTGTACTCTTTTGGTGTGCTCTCGGCTTTGTAAATCTGCTTTGTTTACTTTGCTTATATATGCTGGTTCTGCTTTTTGTCTTTTGCTGCACGGGGAATCTGTGTTGCCATTGATTGGATCCTTGCATGATCACTGGCAGCTCAAACTCCCTCCATGGTGGGGGCAATCACTGGCACAGCTCTTCCCATTTTTGACTGTGCTTGTGGTCATCTGGTTGCACGAAGGGTGGCTTTACCACCATAATATGTTCAATCGGCCACTTCAGCGACGGACAGACGAGCAAACTCAGACCCATGGCTGGACTCAAGGAAGGACAAAGCGACAGCCAGGTGCTACTGGACTTTCGTACCGCCTTCCATGGAAGTGTGTTCGAGAAGTACCACGTGCTCCCTATCCAAGTCGCCACTCTTGAGGCAGTTAAATGTGCAACCTCCGATGGTTTCTGGGATTTAAGCGAGTTCCTCATAGGCGCAGGAAATGCCGATCTGCTGAAGAGAGATTGGGATGCTTTTGTTGACCAGTTTCGTAAGTTCATTGGAGCACGTCTGCACAGTGATGATATGTTGATGTACTACGCCTACATAGACATCACCAAAGAATTTTTGAATGAACTACCTGATGTCTTTGAGGGGATTTTGTCCAGTGCGTGGGACGAAACGTTTGGCGACTGGGAGATGGCGTCTGCCGAGTTGGAGGTCAGATTGGCAGGGTTTGTGCTCGCTCATGCCCGTGATTATGTGGCTAAAATGCTTCATCGGTCAGGAATGGATGTTGCGCAGGAGAGTGACAGCAGTCTCACAAGCGAGATGTTTGACTTTTGCAGAAACATGCAGAAAGAGACTTGGAAAGATCCATATGCCGTTAGAGAAATTGTAGTCCATTTTATCGACTTCGACTTGGTCGGAAGTGACGGCAAGCACTTTCCATTACGAATGCGCATGCTCAATTTAATTTGGGAAGAGGTGCTTGGCCCGGGCTGGTGTGCTGAGGTGCGGGATCGTGAGACAGACATCCTGATTGCCACAGCCAGCGACAATACGTTTGACAACTTGACAAATCTCCGTATCATGGCTGCGGACATTGTTAAGCAACGCTACAAGCCACATGGAGATATCACTACATTGCCGCTAACATCAGGACATTTCAAATATTCTAGCGACGAGGAACCCGATGGGTATGACTTCAGGTTGTGTGATGACGCTGATGATTACTTCAATCAAAGTGGGCGTCAGCAACTTGAAACGGAAGTGCTCTCAAAAATACCACCTAAAGCGAAAGATCTTATAATGGAAGACCTATATCATCTTTGTAAAAACTCGTTTGGCGTGAATCATGACTCACTTATTTGCTATTCTAGTTGCTTGGAGTTTGAGCGCCTGATTCCTGTCGCTGCAAAGTTGGCTTGTCTCCATTTTCCAGAAGTTAATCCTTCTCTCCCTTGCAACCGTTTTGACTCTGTTGTGAGGAGGCTTGAGCTCCGTACGTCAACTTTAGAAGAGTCTCAGCTAAGGGCCCTTGAACGATCTCAAGAAGATCTCAATCGCTTTCGTTGCCTCTTCAAAGGAACGTGCTGGGAGCAATTACCGGAAGACTTGGTCATGCGGATTCTGGGGCTTGTGGTGCGGCCCGGACGACACCTATTCAGACCAACTGAATAGCAAAGAGAGCGGAAGATAGATATGGAGAGAGAGAGAGAGAGAGAGAGAGAGAGAGAGAGAGAGAGAGAGAGAGAGAGAGAGAGAGAGAGAGAGAGAGAGAGAGAGAGAGAGAG